GCCAAGTAATAATAAGTATGAAACTTTTAAAGTTATAAACTAATTAAAAACATAGCGCCATTTACTTCACAATTTTTAATAATATCGGCATGCTCAGACCATTTAACAAGCGACTGAAGCTTGAGAAATTGTTGGCGTTGTGGTATTAAGTAATTCAACATGAATGATTTTCTTCGATCGCCGTCTCCTGACTCGATTTGCCTGCAGTGGCGAAATAAATTGATTTATATTAATATATAGAAAAAAGATAATATATAAAGTATTTAAAAACTTACGATATTTTGTGTATAAATGCAATAAGCTTATCTCGAGAGTCACAATTGACAGAAGCAACTATCTCCTGAAGGGGCTTCCATTCTTGTGGACTAGATGCGTACGGTCTGCTTATCTCTTGATTAGCCATAATAACAAAGTATTTTTATATTATTATTTAGCAAAAATAATTAATAAAACTATGAGATTTATGGTTGTATGTGGCTCCTCAGAATCTCTATCAAGAAAGCAACTACTAGTTCATAAATTCTTTGAAGAGACTGAGGAAGTGTGAAGGTCTCAGAACGCATCGACAGTAAGCGAATGTGATTTTATAAACCCGATCACTCGTCCAAGTTTAATATCACCACGCATAATTGAAATAATAAAAACGGAAATGATGTACAACAACAAAAAGTATAAATATGCCATTGCTTCTCTTTTCTTCTACATAAGTGGTACTCTTCTCTAAATAAATACCTAAGAGACAAAAGTTAGAGGGATGGCAGAATCAAAAAGAGGGGTGTATGAAAAAACGGCGGTATGTTGTATGGACAAATGTTAAACGACTATTATGAAAGCCTTTTTAACTTTTGACTTTTTAAAAAGCATGACACTAGCTTCCGTCGTACTTGGGACAAAGAAGAATTCGAACGTCGCGCACGTGAACGAGCACGTCAAGAGCGCGAGCAACAAGAAGACGAAGACCGAAAACGTAAAGGATTAAACCCAAAATTTTCTGAAAGTTCAATAGACGAGCCTCCGCGAGATTTGCTAAGAGCTCGTACTGAGAGAGTCATTCTAGATGCAAATCTAAATAAAACACAGGTTGTACAATCGACTAGTATTGCTTCAAAACAGCCAGGCTTTTATTGTAAAGAATGTGACTGTGTTGTCAAAGACAGTGTAAATTATTTGGACCATATTAATGGAAAGAAACGTAAGCCTCTTACAAAGTTAGATTCTTTTTTTTTCTAAATCAGGATAAATGAAGATAAATTATCTAATTTTTAGATCAACGAGCCCTTGGAATGTCAATGAAAGTCGAGCGTAGCACCATAGATCAAATCAAAGCAAAGTTCGAACAATTGAAAAAGAAAAAGGAAGAAGAACAACAAATATATGGTTTGTATTCCAATCACTGAACAAATTTTCAATTTGTCGATAATTTACAATATTAGTAAACTTTTTATTTTAGATCTTGATGCACAGATAGAAAAGGCTCAAAAACAGGAAGAGGAAGAGAAACGAAGAAAAAAAGAACGAAAAAAAGCTAAAAAGAAAAGCGAATCAAGAAAAAACGATAAAGAGGAAGGTATTGAAGATGATATCGATCCAGAAATGGCAAAATTAATGGGGTACGGCAGAGTAGTCAAATTGACATTCAATATTTGTCTGTCAATACTGATTTATGCCTTGCATAATTATAGGTTTGGT